GGGAGGAGGGTCAGGGGGAGGGGAGGGGCACTGCCATGTTACAAAGAAAGACTCTGAGCATCAGAGATGGACCACTTGCCCAGATCATGATCTGAGGACATCTGTCCCTATGCACCTGACCTGCCATCAGCGCTTCTTCCAACATACACTGCCCTGTTCTGCTAAGTCTCTGGGGCGGTGCAGTGCCTTCTGCTAAGCAGGCCATCAGTGGAAAAGACATGCAGGAGGCAGTTTAATGACAACACAAGATGAGACATGACCGATGTTTGGCAGACCGGCCCGCTATTCTAAAGTGCTCAGAGACTCAATATATAAACTAGGATTCTTTGCCCCAAGACATCTGGCTCCAGCTGTCTCCTCAGTCTCCAGCAGACAAGCTTTCCCATGCCTCTCTGCATCTACTGGTGCTCCTGCCCAACTTTCTGAATTAGAGCTCAGAAATGGGGCAGCCTACATGGGGAGAGGGGAGGCAGCAAAGTCTCGCGTGCTCACCCCAAGCCTCAAGCTAGAAGCCATGCAGGGGACCGCTCTGGCTGGTCTCCAAAGCAGGTGCTGTCCTCTCTCCTCCCTCTCTCAGCAACTGAAATAACTACTTGGTAAGAGCTCACTTTCTCTGCTTACCACCTTCCTGACTCTGTCCAATGCTTATTTCTGGAGGGAAGGTCTCAACTCTCAGATCTCAGTTTCTGTGAGCCCAGGAGCTAGCTATAGGAAGCTGGAGCCATGAGCCACTAAGATTTAGTGACTAGTCATGACTTAAGATCTCTGAGTCGACCTAGTGTATGAGGCATTTGGAAGTTCACCTTTTGCTAAGGACAGGGTCTTCATAAAATTATAGTTATCAAACTGAAGAAATGCCAGCAAGGGCCCTGCAGATTTCAAAGATAGCCTGAAGCTAAGTATCAATAGAATGTCTTCAAGCATTTGGGAACCACTGCCATTCTTAGAGGAAGAAAAACTCCAATTAGGCTGTCACAAAAAAAAAAAAAAAAAGCTTAGAACGATCACTTAAAATTTTGGTTTATAGTAAGATATTTTACATCAACTTTCTGAAAATCACCCACTCTCCATTCTGAAGAGTGAAGTCTAAAGGAAGTCTGTATGCTGCCAAGGAACTACTTAGAACAAACACACTGATCTTTTGATTTATTCACTTGGTTGTACCCAAAAGAAAGATAACAGCATACGATGGATTTAAAAGTACGGGTGTGTTTAGCTTTATATGTGGATTTATACCCAGTTCTCATACAAGAATCATTAAAATTAATGGGCTCAAACTGAAGTTTGTTCAATACATTTTGAAAAGCTCTACAGTCTGAGATTAAAAAAAAAAAATGATGCCTGAAGCAGTCGTTAAAAAGTAACAGTAAATTTTCCCACAGGGACAGATACATAAATAGCAAGCGTGAAATACCTACCCAATGGCAGTTAAGAAGAATAATGTGGAATAACAAAAAGTACATACTATATAAAATATAGAGTTTTTTGCAGGGTAAGAGGGTAGATTTGATTTAACCAAGATGATGATGGATTTGTATTTTTAATTAATACTCCTTAACAATGGGTATGGGTAGCCAGAAAACAATCATCTGGGGTTAAAAATTGGCTCTGAACAAACAACCCAGTCAAAAAATGGGCAGAAGAACTAAAAAGGCACTTCTCCAAAGAGGAAGTGCAAAGGGCCAACAGGTATATGAAAAAATGCCCAACATCACTTAAAATCAGGAAAGCAAACCACAGCCACAATGAAATAGCACCTCACTCTGGTGAGAATGGCCCAAATTTAAAAAAAAAAAATCAACAAATGCTGGTGAGGATATGAAAAAACAGGAACCTTCTCATAGTGCTGGGGGAAATGCTAACTGCTCCAACCACCATGGAAGGCTGTGTGGAGGTTCCTCAAATTACTAAAAATGGAGCTTCCATTGACCCAATGATTCCATGCCTAGAAATTCCATGTCAAAAAACATTAATTCAAAAGGAAACCTGCACCCCTGTGTTTATTGCAGGATATGGAAACAATCTAAAAGCCCCAAAACATTTAATTGGGTCAAAAGGATGTGCTATATATACGCAATGACGTATTAGTCACAATCAAAAAGATAAACTCATGCCATTTCCAGCAACATGGATGGAGCTAGAAGGGGTAAAGCTCAGTGAAATAAGTTAAAAGGCAAAAGAAAATATCAGATGGCTTCACTTAAAGGAGGTGTACAGGAGAACTGAGCAGGGTCAGAGGAGGAAAAAGAGACAAAACTATCAGGAAAATTATAGACCTGAGACATCCGGCAAGGGAGGGACCGGAAGGGTCAAAACAAGGGAGGGAAGAGCACAGAGGACTGGTGTGACAGTTCATGGGAGGCCAGTGATGGGCGCTTTATGGGGACAACACAAGAGTGGAGAAGCCAACAATTGTACAAAAACCAACAACAATATAAGAAAATAAAGTAAGAATATAGAAAAAAATGACTTTGACAAACCGAGGCATGCCAAGCATTAAAGAGCTGGGAGTTTAATGTAACATTTGGAGACCTGCTTTGAATATATTTTAAATCTCCAATGTCAAACTATTTTAAAGCAAGCTAGCTGACAAAATCTTTAATCTGGAACATTCCTGAAAGTCTTGGGTGTTTTGCTATAACACAGATAGATCAAAACTTAGCACCAATCTCTGAGCACAACCCACGCCCTCCCCGCCCCCTCGCCCCCATAAAAGTCAACAGCCCAAATCTTTGCACCCTGAAGGAAAACAGGGTCACTTACCATGGATAGCACACAGGTGAAAGATGAGTTTACTTTCAAGTGCCTTTAGATGATCGAAGTTCTCAACTTGGAAGACCTGGTTGCTGTCCCCACTGATCTCCTCTAGCTGGGTCCTGTTGGCACCATATACCCCCACCGAGAAGATGACCACCCCTGTACCCCGGAGAGCCTTAGCTGGAATGCTCACATCATCCTGTGCCTCTCCATCTGTGATGAGGATGAGAAACTTTCTGACATCAAAACGGGCCCCCTTGGAGGGGGTGAAGTATTGTGGCATAAAGTTCAGCGCATTTCCAGTCAAAGTGTTGTAGCCTATGAGGGACATACGGTCTATAGCGTTCAAAATTTCTTGCTGTGTGAAGTACTTGTCAAGCTGGAACTCTTCCTTAGTATCCCCACTGAACTGAACAACACCAATCCGGGTTTTGTCTGCACCAATCTGAAGCTTAGCGACCAGGTTCTTCATAAAGTTTTTCATTTTGTTAAAATTGTTATCTCCTATACTGCCAGAGCTGTCCACCAGAAACATGATGTCAGGCTGCATGTCTTCACATCCTGCATGTTGTCAAAAAGATCAGAAATAAACCAGGTTGGCAATTGTTCCTACATTATTATGTAGGAGAATAACACATGCGCTAGTCAGAAAGCATGGACAATTAAGTGAAGAGAGATTACAGTGTTTATTATACTAAACCTGTAAAGATCCTCTGATGTCATTACACTCATTTTATAGATGAGGAAATCTGAGGCTCAAGTAGAAAAGTGAGTTGAAATAAAATCTGCCTAAAAATCACACCGTGCTCATATGCCTCACCACGGCAGTGGGTTTTTTTCAAGGTCCCAACATTCTAGGCCCCTTCCTGCCTGACTTCTGAGATAGCCTCAGGGCAGTCTGGAGTAGGAAAATGACCTTGACAATTCATGACTGAGGGGCTGACTCCCTCCATGGTGATAAAGGAAGTTGCCAGATTTCAATGGGACAGCTGGTCCCATTGGCTCAGTCTGGCTATGTGTCTGCCTAAAGCAACGAATGAACAGAGATAACAAGCTTTTCTTGCTTTGCTTACCTTTTTCAGTGCAGATGCCATAAATGACATCTCTTTTTATGTTCTTTAATGCATCAAAGTTGTTCCCAAAGAAAACCCTTTCTTCTTTCCCAGCAATTTGTTCCAGTTGTGCTACAAGGGCGTTCCCGATGCCCACTGCATAAACGGTGACGTGTTCCGCCCTCAGTCTCTCCGCAGGTTCCAGGACTCTGTCGTCGGATTTCCCATCAGTCAGCACAATGAGGTAACAGGGGACCTGGCTAGACCTGTGCTTCCTTCCCTCCTGAATTTTTGACAGCATGACATGCAGGGCCTTTCCAATGAAAGTCTTGCCTTGCAGTTGCCTGATATTAAAAATAGCCTTTTTTAAGTCCACAGCATTAAAGTAGTCATTGCTAGCGAACTCCACTTGCACACTGCTGGAATACTGCACAACTCCAACCTGGATTTTGTCTGGACCAATGTAGAACATCTCTACCACCGCTGACATGAACTCTTTGATTTGATCAAAGTCTCGTCTCTGGATGCTCGATGAACCATCAATGAGGAAATAGATGTCAGCCTCTTTTGTATCCACACAACCTGTAAAACAAAAAAAAGGAAAACTGACTAATTACAAGAAATCTGGAGAGAACTCTGCCTGGGGGCAGCTAGAGGAACATGAAGGTTCGAATGAAAGGCAACTGCACATCTGTATAGAGCCTGTCCACCTCTCCTTCATGTCCGTCTCCTACGAAAGAATGCTCCCACTGTCTTAACGGTCTGATGGTCACTCTAGCTAGCTGTTCATTGACACTGGGTAGGAGAAAGTACATACTTTTAAAATTCAAAATTCAGGTTATTTATGCAAGTAGCTGGTTGAGTGTATGAACTGCTCTTTAAAATACAAGACAACTTAGTCATCTCAGGAAATTTGTTTTATCTTTTTTTCAATGATGTCATGAATATATTTTTTAAAATTTTTAATTAAATAAAGAATAGGTTTTTTTGAAAGATGTGATTACAGGCGATTTCATTTTCTTCTTTGGCACAAAGGCACAATCAAACTGAGGTCGCTGTGACAGAACAAGCCTGAAGGGCTCACTTTATGGTCATCAATACTGTGAAAATATTTCATAGCTAACATTTTTTATGTTTTATTATCAAATGATTTACATGCTAAAAAAATCTCCCCTGTAATCATTCAGTGATTGTTAGTAAATTTGTGAAATTTTGCAACCATCACCAGCATCAAGTTTTGATAACTCTTCAAATCTCCCTTATCCAGTTACTGGGTTGTCAGAAAAGTCATGACATTATTTTTCTGTTTTTCAAGCAAGAGTTCCAAGCCCAACACACCGCCTTGCCCCTGCCCCAGTCCTAAGCAATAACTCACATCATTTTTGTGCTAAGACAAGCATACCTACCTGTTTTATCAAGATCCATTCTTTCAGCACGTGTAGAAATTTGGGACCACACTTCATTCTGGAACTTTTTCAGGAACTTGTTGCTGTAACGTGTCAAATCCGCATAGGATTTCAGCTTGGAGATCGTCTGTTCTGGAGGGTAAGAAGCGATCTCCTCCAGCTGGCTGATGTTGGCACCTTCGATGCTTATGGCGAACACTGTGGTGCCATCCAGCCGGAGGCTCAGGGCGGCCTCGCGGGCCTGGTCGGCGGAGGGCTGGGCTGTGAGGAGCACCGCCACCTGGGGCACGCCCTGCGCCCGCCTGCTGCCGCCCTGCGCCGAGAAGCCCTCTCGCCTCAGCTGATCCAGGGCCGCCCCGACCTTGGACTCCCCAGTGCGGAGAGAAAGCTTCCGGATGTGCTGCTGAAATTCTGACTGGGTTTTGCTTGAATTCAGAAAAAAAATGGTCTTGGCCGTCTCGCCATAACTCATAAGTCCAAGCCGCACACAGTTGTCCCTGACATCCAGCGCGGAGGTGACGTTCCTCAGGAAGCTCTGTAAGTCCCTCAAGTTGCGCTCACTCCCAACTGACTCATCCACCACGAACATTAGGTCAGCAAGTGAATCCTTCTGACAAGTCTCGGGGACGGGAACTATGGAGAGAGGAAAAGTCCGAGGGTTGGCACAAAGGCACAATCAAACTGAGGTCGTCGTGGTGGCAGAACAAGCCTGAAGGGCTCACTGAGCTCACAGGCTTTGCGACGCTGTTCCCTGTCTAAGAATGCTTCCTATGTCACCCAGCTACCTACGTGATTTTCAAGACCCCCATTAACACCTCCACCACCTCTACCACCCTCACCGTCACCTCACCACCGTCACCTGCACATTCACCACCACCACCTTCAAGCGCAAGGACCAGAGATGCACTCGCAGAATATCTCTAAGGCAGGACAGAGAACGCACATTTTATGTGACTATGTTATTTCCTTATTTTATTAACTCTACATACGGGATGGTTTCACTTATGTGTGTAGTATAGAGGAACCAAACAAAAGGTTGGGAAGACAAAACTTGCAAGCTGACCGGAGAGCTGAGGGATACAGAAAGGGGGGCGGAGGGGCCAAAGTGGGAAGCAAGAGCACAAGGGACTACGGTCATGGAGCACTATGGGGGCACAGCAAGCACTGCCCCCCCGTTGGCGAGGACGCGAGGAATATACATAAACTCAAAAACAGAGAAAATGATGCCAATAAAATAACCTACTTAAGATAGGTAAATAAGACACCAGCTCAGGGTCAGGCACTCTGTAGGCCCCAAATGAGGCATAAAGCCAAGTTGCCATTCTGCCCTCATGGCGCTATGAGCTCCCTGGCGGGGGCAGGGGCCCAACACAGAAAAGGGTCATGATGCCGTGTGGAAAGCACCACTGTGGCTACTTGCGTACAAGGAACCATGTGAGCCCCAAAAGAAACGTGAAAAGAAACCCTTCGGGAAGACAGGCTGCAAGTTGTGAGCAGGATAACTGAAGGTGCTGGAGGATTCCTGACAGAGAAGTGGCGCAAGCGAAGGCAGAAGGGAGGAAGAGCACAAGGCGCTGTGCGCAGGCTCCCAGCACTTAGGCGCGGCTAATCACAGACGCTGCCTCAGAGTAGTGAGAGGACAGTGCTGAGCACAGGGACTGGCCAGCCTCTCCCACCAGAGCTCCCTCACCTCGGACCCCTCCTCACCTTGCAGATCCACCTCGGGCGCCCTCTCCCTGTACTGAGTCGCATCCCTGATGATCTGCATCATGTTCTGGGAGAAGGTGCCGAGGTCTCTGACTGTCCGAAGACTGAAGTGGAACCCAGGCGTGGCCATGGCCCTCAGGCTGTCCTCAGATGCCCTCTGCAATCCCACAGAGACGATCCTCACTCCGTCCTCCCGCAGGGCCCTGGCAGCCTCGTCCACGTCATCCTCAGACTCAGCCGAAGCCAGGACCACCAGGATGGGGGGAAACTGCTTCTTGTCTCTGCCGTTTGTGGGTCTGGAGAAATAGGTCCTGTGCGCCTCCCGGAGAGCGTTCCCGATGCGCAGGGAGCCCCCCAGGAAATTGAAGTTCTTCTTGAGGTGGTTGAGCATGGGGTTCCTGCTCTTGAAGGTGCTCAGCTGGAACTCGCTGTGGAGCGAGTCGCTGTACTGGGCCAGCGCCACGCGGTGCTTGCTGGGCTCGATGGGGAGGCTGTTGATCACTTTGCTGATGAAGGTTCTCACAAAAGGGAAAGACTTAACTCCCAGGTGGTCAGAGCTGTCCACCAGAAACACGACGTCTGCATACTCAGGGCCTGGTTCTGCCAAAACAACAGGACAGCAAACCAAAATAAGGTGGTGGTGAGCCGGCCTTTCCGTTGTCGGTAATCATTTGAGACCCTGACACACTGACCTAGTGTCGTGGTAACCCAGAGTCCCAAAGCCAAAAAGAAGAAACTGAACTTGTGTTTTGCTAAGATGTGAAACGTGAGAACTCTGGTCAAGTCAGAGAGCAGATTCTTCTTTCTGAACTCCATATTGGAGGCAACTGACATTTTATTTTTCCATTGTAGACACCCAAACTCTGATACTGTACTGAAGAACAGACCACATGACACTAGAAAGTCCCAAAGCGGGCTGTGGGCAAACAGCAACTGTTAGAAGCAGTATCGGGAAGGTGGCTGCCTTGGGCTGGAGGCCGTCCGTAGAAGCAGATCTGGGGTTGGGTGACCGGCCGGAGTGCGGAGAAGCGGGGTGTCTACCCCTGGCCAGATCTCAGAGGCGTGCCAGCTGCACTGGTCAGGTTTTTGCATCCTCCCCTCAGGCCATCACTGCCTACAGACCACCCAATGGGACTGTGGGGAAGGAGCAGAGAGGAATGGGCTCAACCTGCAGGGAGAGCCAAGAGCAATTCTCCTGACAGCGTGGAGTATGACTATGAGGTGGTGCAGGCAACACCCACAGCAGCTGGGGGGAGTCGGGGTGGGGGGAGAGAACAGTGCCACCAGCACCTACTGCAGCCAACAGCCACCCAGCGCCGCGCTCAGAGCTAGCAGCGTGCTGGTCAGGGCCTAAGAGCCACACCCAGATGACACTGAAAGACACTTGGACACACAACAGGAAACCCTAGCGGAGCACAGTGCAGAGTTAAAAGCACGTCTTTGTGCTGTGTTAGTGATTACAGGAGAGTAGAAAAGCCTACCGGCCCGCCACCCCACTGACTTTCTGCCTCTCCCCTCTCACTCTCACACACGCGCTCTCTCTACCCCCCCATCATAAAAGGGGAGTATAACAACACACATATGACTATATGGAGAAGGAAAGGTAGGTTGAGGGGTGCGCACGTGTGCGTGTGCGTGTTCTCCTTCCCCACATGTATGTCTGGTCTGTGTGTGTGCGTGCCCACGCATACATATGCAAATACCTCAAATTCGTAAAAAAAAAAAAAGAATACGTAGAATTTCATTCTTTTTTTCCCCTTTTTTTCCATTTACGGAGGTCAAGATGCAAACTGCCTAGACACAAAGGCGCTGCTTCTGCATGTGACACCAACTGGGGACGAAATGAGCATCCTCCAGTGGGGTGAGCCGTCCGTGCCTTCTGCTGGTGACTTTTTTCTGTCATTTCTGAGAGATCAAGATGGCTGTTGCACACCTCCAACCACAACTCCCCACTATTTACCTTGTTTTTTTTTTTTTAATTAAACAAATACATTCTTAGCTCTAGCTTTAAAAATAAATGTTTACTGAAATGTAAAAAAATATTTATTGTCCGAAAACACATAAAATATACTGGTACCTGGGCTCTGAAATGCCATTGTTTTTGTCCAAACAAACAGGACAGGTATAATTAGGAGGATCTTCATTTTGTTAGTGAAGGTTTTCTGATTTTAATCTGTAAAAGAAAATATTTATAGTAAGAAGAGTATCACTGCATGCCAGGAAATGACGCCTGGGAAAGCCGTGTCTGTGTGCAGCATGCAATAAGCAGTGTCCAGGAAGCACTGCAGGCCGGCTCAAACCCTCATCAGCAGTTGGCGCACCTCAGGGGGACACAGAGAGCTAGGGTTCGCTGAGCCCTTTCCATGGTACGGGTGCTTTTCTTGGTGCTTTACAAGTTTCACCTAAGTAAATCCTCCCAGCAGTCTCACCAGAAGCTACGACTGTTATAACCAAGTGCCACAGCGGGAAACGGCCACACAGAGCTCCCGCAGGTGACTGCGCCATGCTCTTGCCACAGTAAGCCTTGTACAAAATCTGTGTCCCCGCCAAATTTAGGCTATTCTTCACCCTTGACTGTTATGACTATCGTGCATATTATAACTTGGTTCCGCAAAGCCAATAGCTACCCATGTTCATTTCACTCTCCTCTCCTTCTGCAACCAAAAGAACAAGACTAACTGAAAGATGGAAAGAAAAGTCAGATCATCTCCCTTTTTGCCTCCCACCTCATTTCCCTTGTCCCCAGTGTCCACCCTCCACTCTTCCTGGGCAGTCATCCTAATGCAGGATATCCTGGACTGACCCAGCACACATGGGCCAAGAACAGGCTCTAGAGCTCCAGCAGAGAGATAAACTCGAGAACTGCAAACTCCAGCTGTTCTGGGGCTCCAGCTGCATTATGTCCAACTAAGAATAAGAGGCCTGGTGAGGTTGTGTGTGTCCAAGATCACATAGTTAATTCAAGGTAGACATGAGGATGGAATTCTAGACCTTAGCCCCGCTGGTGCACTGATTCATTTCTGGAACCTCAGGAACGTGAAGGAGCAGGAGGCTTATGAGCAAGAGCTGCAAACGCTGATAGTTACCAGGCTGGCAGAGATGAACTGGCAGCCACAGGACAGACGTGAGGAAAGAATAGCAGCTTTCAGTCACTTTATGCCTCTGGGCCAGACCCATCCTCTTCTTTGGCACGTATCACATTTTGCCTTGTTCTCTGGTTACTGAAATGGTTTTCTTAGTCTCCCACCCAGAAATGCCCAGAAACATACACATGCACATGTGTCTACTTGAGCACACGAACACACGCCACAGACACCTATACGCTTAGTGAAGACAGGCCTGGGCTCTTTATACCTCATCACCTTTTTAAATTGAGTATATTAGTTTACAATACTAAATAGGTTTCAAGTGTACAATCTCTCACGATAACAAGTAAATATGTATCTCACCACGACCACCACCAAACAGCCAGTCACCAGCCACCAGCAACATGTGAGCCCCTCTCGCCCTCTACCCATTGTCTCCTCCCCCCCCCTCTGGTAACCACCATTTTGTTGTCAGAGTTTTGTTCATGCATTTGCTTTTTTTTTTTTCTTTGCATGGCACAAATAAGTAAAGTCATCCAGTATTTATCTTTCTCCTTCTGACTGATTTCACTTAGCTTAACCTCCTCAAGGCCCATCCATGTTGTTGTAAATGGCAACAACATTTACAACAGCTTCTTCATGGCTGAGGAGTAGTCCATTGTGGATACAGGTTACCCAAGGATTGAAGACAAATCCTTATAAAGGGAGATAAAATTAGGAGCTGTCGCAAACAAAGTACTGTGGAAAGAGCAGAATGAAGGATAAGGTTTGCAGAAGAGGTGGCATTCAGATTTCACTTGAAGGATGCCTGGGATATCAAAAGGCAAAGATGATGGGGGAAGCGTCTGGAGTGTATGGGGGGACAGCAGCAAAGACTCCAGTAGCAACAGGCAGTGGGTATGCCCCAAGACTGCCAGCTTTCTGCTCTGGCTTTGACCCTGGATGGGGGATAAAGGGGGGCCGATGACAAGGCTGGAAAGGCTGAAGCTGAGATGACGCAGGGGAGGGGTCTGAATACTCTATGGAGTGTTTAGGCGTGAGACTATTCTTTCAGCAATTATGACTTGATATTGGTTCCTGGCTGGTGAAAGTGGGGGCAATGAGTAGCCCTGGGGATGCTGGGGAGAAGTGACTCTTTGTGTCAGGTAGACCTTGACTAAGACCCCAATACTAAGGAGTTACAGAGAGTATAGGAGCAATCGAGGATCCATGATGGAGAGAAGCCCACAACTAAGTGACATAACTGACAGCGCCGGGAAACGGTCCTGAAGTTCCCCCACTGCGGGGCTGCGAGGTGTTCCACGGCAAGGGCAGGTCCATGGGAGCAAATCGGGACTGAAGGCCGGAGTGCATGTGCCACCGCCTAACAAAGCCAAGACAAGCAGGCACGTCAGAAATACGGTGGCAGCTTAATTAACAAATCCACCAGCTGTCACTTGCTCAGTCATTCGGCACTGCCATTTATAGATGATTAATGGAATCGTTGTAGGCCTTGGACACCAAATGTGAAAACCATAAAATAAATGGGGAGTGAGTCAAGTCATGCGAAAAGAAAAACTACAGAGAGCTCCAAGTGCTCTAGCAGAATGTGTTGGAAGGGTCAGAGCTTGCTGGTTTTGACTAAAATGTCAGACTCTGGCACAGTAACTATCTGCAGCACGTACCTCAGTGTCTGACACTCGCCAGATGCATTTGTTGAAAGAGTAAACAATCGAGATGTTTCAGAATAAAATATAAAGAGCTGACAGAATGAAGCTAACAGAATAAGACATAACGCTTTGATTTTATGGAAAGATATCAAAATAAAACACACAAAAACAGAGACTCTAACATGCCTTACAACACTTACCAGAGGGAGGACAAAGAAAGAATATGAAGGCATCAGTATTCACGACCCAAACCCTGAGGTTTGGCGGCCTAGTCTATGAAACAAGATCGCTGGACCTCACCCACCACACGCCCTCATCTGAACCAGAACCCCATGCATGAGCCCAGGCTGTGCTAGGGACATGAGAGGACGGTTCCCCTCCACACGGGAGGCTCGGAGGTCACCTGCTTGTGACTCTGGAGCACTGACAAAGCCAGGATGGGGCCTCCAGCCGGCCCCTCCAGCACAGGCCCAGACAGGGAATTTCTTCTTTACACATATTATTCATTACTTTTAAATCATCTACTTTGCCATCTCCTCACACACCAGTTTTGTTTTTTTTCCTCAATAAATAATCCCATCAAGAGGAATGTCCTGCTTATATTTCTACTATTTCCACTTGCCAAAGCCCACAAGGCCTGTTAAATTCAAAGAGTCATAAATGATCCTGGACCTCAGCTTCCCTTGAAATCCTGAAGTCCCCAAATCAGTGCCCTCTCCACCTATATTCTCAATGCCTGGTTTCCACCAGGAGTGCAGCTTGCTTTCCTGTGGCTACCTTATCTCTTTGGGGCCCAGTGAGTGCCTCATTATTGGTGTCACTGCCAAGAAAACAGCACATGGTTCTATTCTTCCCCCTCATTACAACTTTATGAAAAGAGAATGACCTCTGGGCTGGTGGTTTTCAACTGTGGTTGCATGTTGGGAGCTGCTGAGAAGCTTTGAGCCTTGGTCTGACTCCAGAGCTTCTGCCCCAATTGGTTCGGGAAAGGCCTGAGCACTGCCATTTCCTAGAGCACCCAGGTGACTCCAATGCGTAGCCATGGTTGAGGGAATTCTGAAGGGTCTACGCCAGTTCTCTGGAGGAACCACAGGAGATGGTATAATCCCAAAGGAAAAAAGTTTGGACCTCAATGAACTGACTTGCAAGTTGTGGTCAATAATGGCTATAGCGTTGCATTGCTGAGAAGTTCATATAAGATCATACACGTAAGGCATCTTGTAGGCGACATCAGTTTGATTAGCTTACTCAACATCCACTACTCCTTCCGAGGAACCCTTTCTCTAGTTTCAATCCTGGTAGCTGCTAGATCTTGATTTCACCTCTGCTCCAGAAAAGGAGCCTGAGCTAAGTCAGCACTGCTATGGTCACCATGGCTACCCAAGGGTGAGCACCGGACCTAGGTCATCAGAACCTCTGAGCACTGGCCAATAAAAGGTTTTTGCTACATCTATTACAAAGGAGAAATTTTCTTGCCACTGAGGTTGCTAACAGGGTAGGATATAAGATTGTAGGATTTGGGGTCAGACAGCCAACAAGAATTAGAACCCCCAAGATCAAGAGAGACATGTTTATGAAGACATCAGCAGCTTGGTTGCCCTGAACTTTTAGGTATAAGTTCCAGTCAGTGAGTTTCATTTTGTGCTTGAGTTAGTTTGATAATTTACAAATGAAAGAATCCTCACCAATATGTACTTGTTAATCTTTGAAGATGCTTGGATATCTGACCCCCTGGAAAATCCAAGTCTGGATCCTCTAATGAGGGCTCCTTCCTGTTGCAACTTTGTGAAACCAGACTCACTGGATACTTCTCAAATAATTCCCTGTCCTTCTGGATCTAACTAAACACCATGGTTCACTCTGTTTTTTTCTCTGTCCCAAGTCCTTTTCTTATGCACAAATTCAAGTAACAGTTGAAGTTCAAGGCCTACCTGGCCTGCTCCTTGAATACTGCAGACACATTCACCTTCCATGTTCCTAAGTGTCTCAAACACTCAGTCTACCACTATTGTTTTTAACATCTCAAAGGCACATTCTATGCAGCTGTATTGTTTATTTCTATGTATATGGTTGTTTGGCACACCTATAATGTAAGTTTTGAGAAGGAAACATGCTTGCTTCCTCACTAGGATTTGAATACAATGCCAAGCAAAACCATGTTTGCTAAATTTAAGTAAATGGGACAGCTGCTTAGAGAGTAACAGCAGAGTCCAGAGTATGTAGTGCATGATCTCAATACACTTTTTTTCTGGGATGCAGAGTTAAGGATTTCACCATCAGGTTACTGGGCACAATTTACAAAAGGCTTATCCACACCAGCATGCAACTTCAGGACTCTAGTATTGTGTCTGTGAACTCAACTCAATTCTGACACGATCAACCAGGAGGACAATGTCCAATTCTACAGTA